GCAAAAGCTAATCCGCTTATCTTGGCTTTGGTGGTGCTGTCTAGTCTTCTGAGTGTCTACATCAAGTGATTAACTAGTTAGGTCTTAGAGACCAAAGACAAAGGCGCTGCTTGTCATGGGGTGACAATAGTCTAGGGCATAGTCGCCTTATTTCGGAATATTTAGCCAGTCTTCTCCCTTTTACCCACTGATCGACTCTATCAGTTCCTTTTTTACGATCAATTACTTGACCCTTCTTTTCATAATAGTCCCTTCAGACTGATGCTCTTTGTTGCCGGGTTCAACTGGACCTCAAAATAATGTCTTATCTTCGTCTCTAGTTAACCGGTCGAACAACCACACTGACGATCATCTTACAATACTTACCATCAAAAGTCCAATCAAAACGCTCATGTACTTTCTTCCAATAGACTCCAGCTCATTATACTCAAAGCAAAAGACTTAGAGAATCGCAGAAATACACACTGCAATTCTTTGCCTTTTTATCTGCTTTCTTTCATAACCTCGGATCCACTTGCTTCGTTCCCGACTAAGTCAGTCTATATTTTAGGAGCGTTACTTCATACTCAGCTTAGGCCCCACTCTTGAGAATGTCTCTGTACTTAAGTGATGGCCTGGTCTAGCAATGAGAATCACACTCAGCGGCGCCAACAGTGCCGGAAATCTTTGGCAAACCATATGTACCACTCGCCCACGTACATTGGCAAAAGAAGTGAAGTTATCTGACCTACCAAGATAACTGACTAGACTTAAACATTCAGCCTTGGCGGTTCGGCTGCAGCTGGCCCCAGAAGATGGGTATACTTGGTCTGTCACAAATTCCAAGTCACATTTAATGAAGACCAGCGTCAGCAACGGGACCGTGGGCCTTCTAGGACGCAATATGCAAGGAGATCGGGCGGTCAATCAAGGCCGTGCGCCCATCTCGAGTTGCAGACGGAGTACTTGACTCTGACGTAGGCTATCGCCATCAAATGTTCAAAATATGGAGGGGCTAATACAGGGAGGCTGACTCAGTTGTCGTCAGACTTCGGTGAAGAGGACTCATTCACCACGATCATCGAGCTTTGTAAGGCGAGAAAACCACCAACTGCGCGAGGACATCGGCCACCTCCGAAATCATATAGAAAGGATCTCCCGGGCATCGCGAGGCTAGGAATGAAAAACGGGCAGCTGGAAAAGGACGTCATAAGGGAGCGAAACTTGATACATGACCTTAAGGAGGAACTTAGCAATGTCCGAAGCGGAGTTTGCGATGCCGTCCGTCTCCTGGTGCAGCACCAAGACTGAAAGGTCAATCAAGAGGAAGGTAGACGGGCGCATGGGTCTAACCAGGATTAACTGTACTCTTGGGGGCTCGCACGGAACATAGTAGCCAGAAATCTATTCACATTCCCGGGAAGCCCGAATGAGCTCGTAGGATGTTCGGCAGGTCGCAGGAACCTGATTGTCCATGCATTTCCTTAATACAGCAATCCATCGGCCGATCATCAGGCCTACTGGACGGATTCTTGCGAAAAGTACATATATTACCTCGTCCACAGGGTTGATAGCCCCTTCTGTGGTACCGACATGCATGTTTCGTTGCTCCCATTCCTCCAGCCACACGGACTGGCCATGTACATCCGGGGTGGGTCCTTCAAAAGCCGAGGGCTGAACGCCAGGGCATAACAGCACCCATCATCAATCGAGTTGCGTCCGAGCATTGCGGCTGACTGCAGTAKGGCTGCACTTTGCCGCACCACGGCGTGCCATATGAGATGATTGAGAAAGCTATAATAAGCCCGAGATAATTACCTGAAATGCCGATTGTTCCTTCGCCAAGGCTCTGGTTATACAGTGCACCATGCAAATCGTTGAGGCAGAGACACCGAGCATGACAGCTTCCAACAATGACAGTGATGACGATTTCCTTATGCTTTTCGGCGGATTTACAGTTTCTGAGAAACCCATCCCACCAATGTCATGGGTAGAGGATGAGCTGGCAGCAATGGACATGGACAATCTGGATCAATCTTCCCAGTGTTGCCGTGATTTACAAGAGGAATACCACTGGGACGAGCCTCTACTGAGAGACATGGCTATTGACAGGCCTTCGCAACAAGGTGGGAACCGTCTACTACGGACTACACGTCCGTTACGTGATAAGTACTGTATGTTCGGCTAAACTTGATTCTGACAATGCTATAGGAGCCGGAAGACGACGTTCTCCAAGAAACAAGTCAGCTAGAGGCGTCCAGACGCCATATATAAACTTCATCGCCAATGCACTACAGTTGGCTAATCGGCTCCGCAAAGCTCGAAGGGAGCGGAAATCCCTAAGAAGGATGAGAAAGCAATCGACTGCGGCATACGAACAACTTTCCCGTGAGATAGAGCAACTCTCGGCGATCATACAAACGAACTGGCGGGAAAGGTCATGTAACAGGAAGCGCAATAACAAGGATGTACATACCGTACAGTAGTATTTGCGAAAGTATTTATGACGCTGAGAGATAGGCAAAGGGGCTTTCTCCGGGTTCTTTTTTTTCTTCTGTTTCGCACTAGGACAACATCTGCAGTTACGGTAGTATGTAAGCAAAGAACAGATCAAGCAGCGACTACATTCTTCCATGTCCTTATTGCCCAGCCACTGTAGCATCGTGGTTAAGCTGCTTGACTCCAGATGCACAATCTTGTCATATAAGTCTACCAGCCGTCCGCCCAAAGATGGTCATATTCTTGGCTTGAGACTTCCGAAGACTTTAAGGCAGTACAGGATGGTGAGACTATCTTAGGAGGAGCTATATATTACCAGACTGGTGCTCACATACTCGTTGCATAGCTTAACCATAACGTCAAAACCGAAGGACCAACCCTGAGTGCCACTTGATTTATCATGACCATACATACCCGTCGCCTACCCACGCTCAGTCAGCTATATTCTGCGATGTCATATTTTTGCCGTAGCAGCCCGCCCACGCCGCTTGATACTGGTGAAATCAAGCTATTCGCAATTCTACGGGAAGGTTGCCCAGGACCTAGTCTAATTTGTACGGGGTCCCTGCACCTACAATACATTGGCCAGGGCCTCACATACTGGCTTGCCCCCAAATCACGTCATTGGTAATAACAACAAACAGATGATTCTTAGGAGGGCATTCATCGCTTAAGGCAAAGCGTCTGAATTGGCCACCCGCTTTCTGACTCCGTTGACCGTCAATGTCTGGATGGTCCCTTGGTTAAATGGCATGCAATAAGTGATGCATGAAATACGTGAGGTACGCAGATAGCTGTCAATACCAAAGATTCGCCCATGGTGTCATTCAACAATAGGCAAAGGGGTCAAAACGTCGACATATAAAGCACGCCTACAGCCTGCCGTCTGAGGCTGTCAATTGGGCGAACAATATGCCGTCGGTTCTCACGACTCTTCACAACCAGGCTGCCAATATCCCCTATGCTGACTGGTACGGTATAAGCCTAGCCGTTTGGCTGGGGGTGTGGCTCATCACTCGGTTCACCTTCCACCTTGGCCTATGGATTCTCCAACGGAACCTCACGGTCTCTGTCCGGCGATACGCCGGCTACCCACTACCGTCGCTCGTCCGAAGCCTGGACATGTCCACAGTCTCAGAACTATTTCTAGTCCTGCTTCTTCTCGCCGCTAATGGGTTACTCCTCGCTTTATCTACTCGTCGCTGGGCAGATATCCAACGGCGCGCAGCAAACCTCGCCGTCTTCAATCTAATCCCTTTATGCACCGGACTAACTTTTGGCCTCCCAACCCATCTACTTGGAGTTAGGCGCTCTTCCTTTGCATGGATGCACCGGTGGTTCGGCCGTATGGCAGTTGCCCACTCCCTTCTCCATGGGGCTAGCATCATCGCTGGGGCCGATGATGCAATCCACTCCATGAGGCGCCATTGCATTTCTCTTCTGGTCAGTATACAGTCATTGAAAAACGCTAGAACGTTCAATGGAACGGATCTAACTGGACGCAGGCAGCTGCTTCACTGCTTTCGATAATCCCCGTGACCCTGCATGCGATTGTCCGACGCCATAGCCAGATGGCCATAAAGCTCCATTACATCCTTGCGATCACAGCCATGGCGGCGCTGTCCTATCATACCTGGGACCTGCGCTCCAGCTGCCGCTGGTATTTGGCTGGTGCGGGGATCCTATGGGTGGTGCTGAGTGTGGCCGCTGGAGCCCACGCCATTCTTATCAAGAAGCAGTTGGGCTGTGCCTGGCCCGCCGTGACTGTACAACCTTTCCACGAGCTCCTTCGCATCGAGATTACCGTGCCGGCCCATTGGGCCCTCCAACCTGGCCAGTGGGTGTATCTCTGGTTGCCTCATGCAKGCTTCCGAACATGCTTTCAACTGCCCCTCTTTTATGTCTCCTTCTGGGACGACACGCCTAAGCAGCGCACGCTCTATATTCTGGTCCGGCCGAAGTCTGTTAGTCTCTATCAACGCCTGTATATGCGGGAGTCGCTTCATGGTCGTCAACGGTTCGCTCTACTGCTGGGGCCCTACGGTCGGTCTCTCGACTTCACCGCGTTTGGGACAATCCTATTTATTGTGGAAGATACTGCCATTGTGCGTGTGCTTCCCTTCATCCGCATGCTAGTCCTGGCAAGCGAACAACGTCGAGCGATGGTGCGAAAGTTGAGGATCGTCTGGCAAATGGATGATTTCAGTATCGTGACGCYTTCTACCCCTCCCACCCTGTCCACAATCAAATACTGACTGTCTGTATGCCACCGATGCTGGATAGCGGATTGGATGCAGGAACTGTTGGACCTCGACCGGGGTGAATTCAAGGTACCGAACCCCTGAACTGAATGAGCTATTTGTCTGACGACGAAAGATCCTGCGGTTTAGTCTATATTACCGGTTAAACAGCACAACCGACAATCCGGATGATATGCGTGGCGGGCGAATCAAATTGTGTCCAGGCTCGATGAAAGCTGGACAAGTGGCACAACACCATCTCAACAAGCGCCGAGGGAAGCTGGCCGTGGGCGGTAAGTTTATGTTGCTTCTCCTCTSTTAATCCCTATCCGACTCTGTTCTAGTAAATGACAGTCCRCTGTGCGGCYTATTTGTACGAATTAAACAATGTTAATGGATCGTCRATACATAGTATGTGCCCGGCAATCAATTCGCAGGGCAGTCCGAGAAGTGGTCCAACCTCAGACAGGGATTGACGTGAAATTGGTGKATTTCGACTTGGAGCCTTACGACGCCTGGGGAACCTCTCACTTCGAGTCCGAAGGATCACCAGAGACAGCCCAGAGCCATCACCAAAGATGGGTTGCCTCACGAATTGCGGAGGGCAATAGCAAGCTACGGTAACCTGCCATGCAATACGGGAAGYAGTACACCAGCGTACATTTGCAAGGAGCAYCAYTGGATACTGCSTGCGACAATTTCTGGTYCCACAACGCTCATCGGGACAGCAAGATGGGTGACGTCTCGATCTGTCCGACCTTGTGTTCGGGGCCACATGTCGATCCGTAAGCTGGAAGCTCTCCCAGTCGCTTAATTCGACCATCTCGCTCAACAACCTCCTTCGCACTAGCACAGCCGGTGCGCCGTCGCGAACAGATCCCCACGGCGGGGTGTTGGACAGGGTCCTGCCAATGTCGACAATGATACGCCGGAGAGCGACGGCCGCGACACCGCTCACACCTCAGCTCCTCGATAGCACTGACCGGCTGTGTGTTGTTGTCGCTGGCAACGTTCAGTCCGGTTTTGGCTGAGCGAGATGGCCAGGTTTTGGCTGTGTTATGGTGCATGTTCGAGTTATCCTCGGCGGATATTATCCCAGATTTAGTTCTGCGACGACGATGCGCACAGTTAGCAATTGGTACGAAATTTTTTTTTGAACATATCATACCCATGCCAAATGCTCAGCCAGACCCCGCGAAACCACTTCATGTTGTCATTTGAGACTAATTCGCGGAACAGGACTCTCTAGGCCCCTTTATCAAGTCGTTTTATACATCCCGCACATATTGAGGTGAAACTAAGTTTAGCTGCTCGTGGGAAACTTACCAGAAGGGAAAGAGGTTGCTCATAAAAGACACTCTCCCTCACCGCCGCAGTTCGTTTTTAGGGCCCTGGAGTATATTCACCTCATCGGAATATRTGGTGTGACCGTCTTGGTATCGCCAGATACCYGGAAATATCACYGCGCGGGTGATGCTGGTAACCGTTGRCACAATTCATTTTGGATGTCTAAGAGAAGAAGGTTTACCCAAGGGGGCGGTCATAGAATGCCCTGGCATAGAATACCCTGGGCATTTCCTGGTGGCCCGTCCTCCGTGCGAAAGCCCAGCCCACTTTCCCGGATAAGTCCTCTTCTTATTTGCCCAACYTTTTTGYTGCTGCTATCACTGAATCCCRTCCAAAATCTGAATCCTCYCTTTTACATTCACCCCCTTCCTCCCCACCTTCTTACGGTCAAAAATGACCTGGATCCAGCGGAAACTTCAGCTCTACCAGTCCAGGGATTTTCACACGGGACTGGGCGCTCTATAAAGGCGGCTCTTTTTCGTCCTTACCTTGACCGAGGACTGCACATACACCTTGAGTATTGGGCGCAGCATTCAGGTAGGTCTGCCACTCAGGATCATAAGCACAGTGAACTGACGGGCCGGGTCACCACGAAGGRAAGGKCATAAAGAGCGCTTGCTATTCAATCGACCGATCACACTCAAAGTTATACCACACCACGAAAAATCTCCGCTTTGCCTGGCATGTTGAACTGCACACGACGACTTCGAGAACAGTTTGGCAGGTTCCCTACGAGTGGRGTGGCTGTCGACTGTTAYCTATCTTCTTCTTATGACGATCCGGRATTTCTTTCCTGGAACGGTCCCAGTCTTCTATCTTCGCTCACGCGGACCGAGGATATTTTTAATTATGCCTCTGCCATGGTAGCAACCCAGATAGATTGGCTGGAGATCCATTTCTCGGTCATACACAAATACACGGGGGAATCGATCGCTGTATTGCCCTTTTTCCTTCCGCGGGTCGAACTGCCCCTAGGCAACCTGAGACAGTGTCGCGAGCAAATGTTGGAAGCGATGCACCAGTATACTCGATCCATACGTGGTGCTGATCTTCGATTTGAACTTTTTATCTGGCCGAGTGACGGTGGGGAGCTGGATTGCATGGGCAGTTTCGCATTCCCATGGATGACCTTGGTTGATCCTGGAAGGGCCCTGGATCCGGATCATTTCATTGACAACATTTCCTGTAATTTCTGATGTGCCATCTTATCATTTTTTTTCTTTTTTCTTTTTTTTTTTTTTAATATATATATATTTATAGAAAAAAAGAAAAAAAGAAATTCTGCTATTTTCATCCCGGGCGACTGTCTATGACTGCTTTTGATCGCTTCGCCGAGTGCTTAGCGACTCGCTCAGACACGCCCATTGCAAATTGTATGTACACACACGGAAACAACTGCAGTTGTAGGGCGCTGCAGTTGTAGGGCGCGATAATAGCATGCATATCTTTACTTCCAATATCAGTCGTGGGTATATGGCGTCGACTTCGATGCTCCCTAGGATATGCTGCGACCCTGACCATAGATGAACGGGCATGAAAAGCTGCAATATGGCTTGTCTATCAAATCAAAAGTGGCCCGTCTTCGGTTGCCCAACCACTCTCATCGTTTACCGGTGGAACCAATAATATCTCACCGGGCGGTTTCGGAGCTATAGCTGGCTAACCGGTCTGCCAATTATTCAATAGGTAGCCCCGGTCTAAGCGTACGATAGCTCGGGCAATTTGATCGCCATTACTCGTGAGGTTACATTGTCCGTGTTCTACGGATGGTTGCTACAGCAGCCAGCGGCTTAGATGTCACCAGTCGTTTAGGCCTTGCAAGTTGCAAGGTTCCAGGGTTACATTTGGCTTTCAGTCAACTTGACAACAAAACATATATGGGTATATAGGACCATGCCTATGTATTATTGTGGTTGCGCTCAGTCTTGTTTTGATTCGGACTATACGAAACTATTACCTTATCACCTCATGATGACACCTCTGCCCCGCCTAAATGCTCTCCGTAAGGCATTGGCATCGACGGAGCCGAAGACCGTTCCAAGGGTCCAGTCGAGACCCTCACACTCCGAGACCTTGCCTGCGCCCACAGACATTGACTCGCATCCCGAAGAAGCCTCCGATGAGGGTGTGTCCGACCAGGCCCTTCACGAAACTGAGAAGGACGGGAAATGGGAGAAAGATAGTGCAGGAGCCATAGAGGCCTCCGAGTACCCCATCGACGTTAGTGGTAGTGAAGCGCTTACTTCGTTGATCTGTGAGTAAGTGTGACCATATTTACAATTCGTTTCAAAAATGCGTCAAGACGTATGCTGACTTGTGCTTCTAGTCTCGAGTCAAGAGTCCGGTACATTGCATCTCCAGATACCTAACAAGTCGATAGCTCCTGCAGATTTCAAGCTAACGAGTAGCGACAGAGTGCTGGAGGAGATGCTTCGGGATCAAGGATACAAAAACGATATTATACACAAAACCGCGCGCGGCATCCAGGAAACGGCCCCGGTCTCCGAAACCAAGAAGAGTTCCCGCGCATATCGCTTCTATAGCGGGAGCCAGGCTGATGGCCGCTGATATGAGGGATTGTGGAATGGAGGATGCGATGATTGAGGAGAGAGGCCGCCAGGGGAAAATAAAAACAGTGTTACTTTATCATTCCGAGCAGTAATAATTTGTTTGATGTATCATACAACATTCTGGTTTACATACCTCGCCCATTAAGGATATTAATTTACACCGATTCCTAACACAAAGTAACAGAAGGCCAACGGTGATTGTAGTGTGAGCCAGCATGTGGACGAAAATCCGCCTTGATGGGATTCTCCGTGCGCGCTCTTCCATGCTGACCGAAGCGTGGAGAGCCATGATCGGCCATGGACAGGTAGGAGCTGATTGGCGGGGTGGTTAGGTTGCGATTAGGGCTAGAAGGCCTGTTCTGCCATCGTTCTAGAACGACTGGTGGTTCAAACAGGCTTCCCCATGATCAGGAACGCCGTCATAGGCTGAACGAATCAGCTCCTTGCTCTATCGATTAAGGTTTGGTGGTTCGTCTGGGCGGGGTCGGTTTCCGGAGATCACTCCAGCCGCGCCACAAGGTTGCGTTCGCCGTAATTACAGTCAGGGGCGGTAATAAAGGATCCACTCACACCGCCTATCGGGTCGGGCTACCTGGTCCTGTTGCCATCACACGCCATAAGCTTGGACTCAAAACGAATGGCCTATACAGTTTACCTACACTGTTTGATAGGAGGATGATCAACATGAAGCAACGTAACGTAGAACCAGGATCAGAAAGCATAGCATCCTGGCGTACCTGTGATACACTGCACCATTGGCATGTTCCCTGTAATAATTCTGCTATCGATTCGTGAAAGTATGGGAGATCTCTCCTTTCCTATGGACACCGCAACTAGGAGGTGAATCAGCTCGCCTTAGGGTTCAATCCCCTCTTCAAAAATCTACACTCTCCATTTCCCTGCACCAGCCGCTTCCTCCTCTCCCAGCTTGGGCAGTCGCGTCACAATGTCTACCATCCGGAGCACCGACGCCTCCCGCGAATATTCAACTTCCAACCTGACCGAACAGTTCACAATCGTCTGCTTGGTTGCCATCGCTTGGTACAACGCCATTGAACTTATTGTTCTCTGCTTCGCCACCTTCAAGAAGTATGGTGGCTTCTACTTCTGGGCCCTCGTGATTTCTTCCATCAGCATCCTTCCCTTCGGCCTGGGCTATATCCTCATAATTTTCGACATCTTCCCTGGCTACTTCGCCGTGGCCGTCGAGGAGGTGGGATGGTGCGGCATGGTCACCGGACAGTCCTTCGTCCTCTGGTCCCGGTTACATCTCGTCGTCCACTCCCGCAAGGTCCTGCGCGGCACGCTGGCGATGATCATCGTCAATGCGGTTATCCTCCACACCATCGGCTGGATTCTCGAGTTCGGCACCAACTCCAACCACGCCTCGCGCTTTAAGCAGCCGTTTGATATTTTCGAGCGGGTTCAACTTATCGGGTTCTCCATCCAGGAAATCATTCTCTCAGTGATTTATACCAACGCCGCCGCTCGGCTCCTCAAGCTCCGTCCTCGACAGCAGTTCCACTCCGCGTTGATCCAGCTGGTGATTGTCAATATCATCTTCATCGTCATGGATGCTGCCATCGTGAGCTTCCAGTACGCCGGACTGTTCCGCATTCACATCTCTTTGAAAGCGATGGTCTACAGTGTCAAACTGAAGCTTGAATACGCAATCTTGGATAAACTGGTCCATATGTCGCATTCGAACTCTGTAGCGACGGACCCGTCTGAGGTGCTGAAGATGTCGGGCAGGACGAACTATCGGTCGCATGTGGAGCAGATAAGGCAAGACTGGGAGAGCCAGAGGAGTATCCTTCGATGACGTGGATGAGTCCCTGGACGGTGTGGATCTAGGGGATTGGTCGCCTATGGGTTTCCCAAGGGGGTCGTTCCTGGGCCACCATCAAAAGGGCGGACGCTTTCTGCATTTCATGGGAAAGAAAAAAGGTGATTATTCTGCGGGGCGAAGCCGCGGCAAGGGCGTGGTCTGGTATATATTGATTTGGTAGACATCAAATGCACCTGTCAAACATAAAGTCGCAAATATTGATAACACAAATAGCAGGGTCTGCCTTGAATCAAATCTGGCCGGATGAAGTAACCATTTGACGAAGATGCAGACTACATGAGATACAATACCAGCAAAAGGAATGGCGTAGATGTTGTTGTGCGGCAATGTCCAGTTCCTCTGCTTCGCTCCGTGCAGGGACTGGTACATGCTCGCTGCTTGCGTCAGGGTTCTTTACGGTAACAACGCCTTTCCCACCATTATCGTCAATCGAAATTCAAATTAAGGCCTTACCGCTAATATACGGGATTCATAGAAGACAGAGACCCTCTTTGCGTTCTTACACAACTTGATCGTATTCATCCATATTCTGTCAACGTGTCTGGACCCAAGGGATCCTGGTAAGATATTGATATGCATACAGTAAAACAGCATTCGTAGTAAATTTCAGAGTCTGCCTGATATAGTCACATTTCACCGAATTCCTGGCCACCCCGCGCCTCCTATCTGGATAATACCATAACGGGGTGCTCTTGGGTCACTGCAATGCCGTAGCGCTTTTGAACTGGGACGGGGCGTTGTATAGAAGCGTTAGGCGCAGGACTCATTAGCTGTGGTGAATCCGGATCGGGTGCATGACAGTCACCCTCCTCCGACTGTAGCAAATCTGGAAAGAGATGGTGCCGCAATCGGTCGAGTGTGGTTTTGAAGTCGTCCAGGATGATAGTGTCACTAAGGCACTTAAATATAAAGCCTAACTATAGCAGCATCAGCATTACTTCTGCTAGGCATCTTGGCAGTCCTGGGTTTACCTTCCAGAAAGGTTCAATCCCCGTTGGAAACTCCAGATGGTATGCTCCAAGAACCGCGCATGTATCCACAATAGTAAAGGCGATCGAGGCAGCCATGGAAAGCAGCATGATCCCGAAGCGAGGGCTACTGAAGACTAGCTGGGTCAAAGAGCACTTGTAACCTCGCCGAATGGTGTATAGGAGAAAGCAGGTGGTAAAAATCCACCAGGGGTCTCTAAACAACTATCAGCACTGCTCAGGATGAGCTTGGGATGAGTAATGTATTCGTCAATCGCACCGGAACAGCGGCTCTAGCGGCCGAGACTTTTCAAACAAGGTCTGCCCGTAATTGAAGAACGTGAAGTTGGCAAAGATCTCCAGTATCCAGTACGGTTGAGCTACCAGCAAGCTGACCAAGTAGATTCGAGTGCCCCACGGGGTGAAAAAACCGCGAATTTTCATCCAACATATTAGGTTGTGTAGCGACCATGACATGTTGAGGCCGACCGCCGTAACCGAGAGACACCAGCCGTACGCGGGTCTATGGAAGAAGATGAAGGTTCCGTGTCCTATGGCCAAGGCAAGCTATTGCCTCTCCACGTCAGTAAAGAGGTCAGATGGTAGGGCTCGGCCCAGTGCTGGACCCCGGACAATACCTCTGCCACGATCACCTTATGCAGGAGCACGCCGCTCTTCATGTTGGCCACAGTGATGGCAATCATGAGAATGAGGGATCCGACCATGAATCCTTGCCCCCAGGCCTCCACAATCAAGACGTCTGGGTTGGCGGGGCGGTCTCCAACAGTTGGCGGCATACCTTCGCTTGTCGTTCCACAGCAAAAATGGGGAATTCAGAGCGGCCATCGCCGTGGAGGTTAGGTCGGTCTTAAAGCCATTCTATTAAAGGCAGGGTCAAGCACATGGTTCCCCGGTTCGGCATGGACAGCAGCCGGGGGACGAGGGAAATGGAGAGTGAGACCGTTACTGCAACCACGGAGCCCACGGAGCAAACGCCAACCATAAATTTCGCCACGATTTGAAAGTGGCCATTGGTAACACTCTTCCACTATGGGCTCCATGGCAGATCTTTTCCCAGTTGGTATAATGCTGTGCTGTGCTTCAGAACCGATACAACACGGCTCCAGGATCTACAAGGGTGAAGCCAGACAAATCCATGGACTTGGCGGTTTGGATTGCTTTTCTGTCTATTCTACACTCGGTATAGCCGCAATAACTGGAGCGTCGAAGACAGGACATGGCTGCCTTCGTGACTTTTTAGTGGACAAGGAGACAAAGAGACCCGAAAGAGGTGGAGAAAAGCCGCCACCGCGACGAGAGTCGGTTGCACGAAAAAGCAGTAGTCAATTCATGGCTCCGCCGCTTCTAAAAGACCTTTCGGTGAGATGATGAAAGAAAAAGGACGAGACCATGCCTTTGGGCACGCGCAAACCGGTAGTCCTGGATGTCCGGTCAGGTTACTAGAGTATCCGTTTGGAAAGGAGCTGATGTTGATGTTTCTCCGCGCGGCAGGGGCATCGAAATCTGAAACCCAGTGTTCTGGTGAACTGCAGCTCTACAGGGGATATAAATTTGCCTGTCGCTCAGAGGTACTGTACCTTGTCTCCTGGAATCAAGTAACTATGGTCTCCAATCATTCTTCTCACTATTCTCTATCTCTACGTGCGTATTGGAACCTGCTCTTCTGACGGATTACGATGCATAAGAACAACCATATGAGCGACGGCCATGTCCGGACAAAGGGTGAGTGTTTGTACTGATCAACTGACATCTGGTAGTTGACAATATCCGACCCAGCTCCGAGTGCACGATACCAAAAACCGAGAAATATACCAACGCCGGCCAGGTCATCTAGATCTCGGGTTCAGGTACTCTTCCGTGAGATGCACGATGAAGTTTACAGGCTTGAGTGGTGGAACCATCATTTACGTCAAGAAAACAGTCAACTGCAGGAATGGTGTCAACGTGCTAGAAAGCTTCTAGAAACCCAATTGAACAGGTCTTCCAGTGAAGTTGTCGGAAGTAACCAGGAGCACACTAGATGCGACGGGTGTGGGTTAACGTCGCCTGATATTCATCTTGCCATTTGTTTCCATCGTTTCTGTCCGGCGTGCGGTGGTGGTCAAGTACAGGGCGCTGCACATGATGTCATTCGGTTTTGCAAGCTCTGCTTTCCTTCAGGGCTCCCACAGCCGGAGTGTACCTAGATGTATCTAATTGCCATGACCACTACAACTACCGCCTCTGATCAGGGTATCTGGAGTCTCTATTCCGTAGAAACTCTGTTAAGCGGTTGGAAACAGCAGTGGTGGGCGGCTTTGAAATATGCATGCTAAATGACAGGGGCTACTATAACGCTCCGGTGCTTTTCATTCCTCCTCCAGATCCACCTGCCCGATTAAGGTGGGTCAGGCAATGCCGGAAGGCAGGAAGAAAGAGGAGAGACGGGGGTGGGATTAGAAATGGATCAACACCGATTAAACCTATTACGTTCCCACTCCAGACCCTTCTTAGTTTCTGTGCTACCTTGGATGAGTGATTTTTCTTTCGGCCTGCTCAGTTTCCCCGGTCCATCACAAAGCGGCCAAAACCCACTTGGTCGTGCCTTTGACAATTCAGATTGCGTGGCTACTGAGTACATGAAAAGATTCTCAATCAATGACCCTACTTTGATGTAACCGTCACATATTGTTAATTTTCCTTGAAAGCCCCGTAGAACGTGGCAGGTATCCAGTCAAGCCGGGCAGGTGACTACGACGTAATAGACGTTGTGAAACAGACATAGCCCGCTCCAACCAGGGGATCTGTCGAAAACCCCGTGTCAGAAAAATCACCAGGACCGGTGAAGCTTGATTCCGTTCATCTTCAATGTTACCGCATCAACGGCGATGGCGCTGTCAGTGTCCGGGACTGGCTCGATAGCTGATCAACAGTCTACAGAAGTAGATGGTTGCCAATCTAAGTCGGAAAGATAGGCTAAAGGGGCGGCCTGACTCTGAGACTCAGCGCGGCCATCGACAGTCGCAGCTATAACCTGGGGACACACGATTGTACGTTAGTGTGAATGGTGGAGTATACTAAGTCAAGCCAATGTCTCTGTTTTCTAGGGTTACTGCGAAGAGATGTTTCTGATTGTGAAACGGCCACTCTTAAGCGAGCAGGCAGGCATAATTCACTCCGTCTGGGATATTATGGGCATTCGCGACGAATACATACGCAGCATAAAGTAAACCAGAGGCCTGTTATTTCGTCTGCCTCTATCTTTGTCCGCTGGTGTTCCATTCCTTTGCAGTTGGCTACGCTTCACAGACCCGACAGCCCTTACAAAAGTTGTCTGGCTTCGTTCCCTCGTTGGCCTCGATCCCTTCCTTAATCTCTTCACTCAAGAGGTCCGCCATGGGGTGGGAACCCAGTATCAACGCCGACTCTAAACCGCAGCCTTCATATACCCCGGCGAGCATATGGTGGGCATGCTGGGCAGGTACCTGGACTGCCGTTGTGGCGTCTGGCATGGCCTATCTCATTGCCCATCGGAAAACACCGACCCTCCGCATCCGAGGGATTGGTTTGTCGCTGTCTTCTGTCGCACTCCTTCATGTTTACTGGACGGTCGTCCAATTCGGAATGATGATCGGTGTCATTATGCCTGAAGACGCCGAGTACTGGATCATGGGCACCTATTTGCCTTGCKGTATCGCCCTGTTTCACGCTTCGAACAGCCGGTTTCTGCACGTCGCGAAGCGGCAACAGAAATATGCTGATCGTAGTAGCCGAGTCCTCGACTCTCCTGCGGACTCAGAGCGAGAAGTTGGCGTGGTCAGCCGCTTCTGTCGCCTCCAATATACCACCAGGGCCCTCGTCCTCACTTCCGTTGCAATACTCGTTCAGGTGCGCTTTTCGTGACCTTCCCCGTATCTGGCGATGCCATCTAACCAGTCGCCTAGCTGTTCCTCACCGTCTTGATGTGGATACTCTCCCGCAAGCAACACCACCCCGGCAATGGACTTGTCACTGAAGTTCACGGTGCCAAAATACAGCAGAAGTCAGGCATTGGTCTGTGCTGGAAGTGGTAAGCGCCAAACGGGTGACGTTGTGACTGTCCGCTCATAGTGGAGTCCTAACCTATAGTTAGGTGGCCCAGTGTGTTAGGGCAGTTCTTTTGGTCCTGGGTCGTTGCTCCGATCATTCTCTGGAAATCCCGCAATATTCACGACACCCAGGGTTGGCGGATTCAGACTATTGGCTGCGCAGTTGCCAGGTGAGTAGAGCAGTTGATGAAGAGATGATTTTCCTGACGGGTCATGCAGCCTTCCCGCGACGCCGATGTGGCTCATCGCCATCTACGTTCCCGCCATGGAGTCCATTAACCGGTACTGGCTGCCTCCACAKTGGTAAGCTTACCCGTACGTACAACTAGAGTGCTATTTTCCTGATGCCATTGCAGGATTTGTCTTTCCATTTGGTTCCTGGAAGTATTCACCATCCTTCTTCCCTGCACGGTGGTAATGCGCCAGCGCTCTCTCCGTGAAGGAATGTCCGACTCATTCACACAGTGGGAGCCAGAAAACGAGACCTCTGGCGCTGAAGGCAACTCTCTTAGTTCTGCGTCTACTTTGGTGCAGTCCGTGACGTCAGGCTGGAAATCCCCCAATGCCTTTACGGAATCCAACCCCAACTCGCTGAACAGCATGCTGAGCATGAGTGCTCTTGAGCACCTCCTGAAGCACAATCCGGTCCCGCTTCAGACTTTCTGTTCTCTCCACGATTTTTCTGGTGAGAACGTTGCGTTTCTTACGAGTGTCGCCAGGTGGAAAACCTCGCTGCCCCCGGCGTGCTGGGATCACACTACTTTGACGGACGACAATGTCCAGCATTTGGTACAAGAACAATTTTACAGGGCCTTGTGCATCTATGTAAAATTTGTTAGTGTCCGCCATGCTGAGTTCCCCGTGAATATCTCTTCGCAAGATCTCAAGGCTCTCGGACATATTTTCGATGCTCCCGCTCAGGCCCTGTATGGGAGCGGGCGTAGGGTTGATCCCGCCATACCATTCACTATTTCGGATTCTGATCCCGAACCTCCGGTGTCCCCGGAAGGCTGTGAGATGGCCATCCTAAGGACCGCGTCCTCCGTCAATGGCCGCTCGCAGTACTGGAGTGGGATTCCGGAGACGTTCAGTGCCAGGGTCTTTGACCGCGCGGAGGAGAGTATCAAGTACCTCATCTTCACCAACACGTGGCCTAAGTTTGTCCGCAGCGGTGGGATATTCGCACGCTCGTCGGCTGCGGAGTAGGTGGCTGGCGGGCCTGATTAGTGTGAGGTTGACTGTCCGGCATGATGCATGATAAGAGATTTGTTGTACTCGTGGTTCCAAAACCGCTTTCACTCTTTTGGCCGAATTCGATAGAACCTGTATCCTAACGCCTAATACATTGGATTCGTATTATCTCGTAAAGATATTAGTTGCCCAGGCTTTTCTACGGTCCACAAAGGATTCAGTTCATCAAACGGAACAGTACGTAAACAGGCCACTTTTCCCGGTGCTTAATGGGTAGAGCATGAACGTCCGCAGTCCACCAAATTGTGCGGTGCAAGGGAACTTGAATGTTGCCAACCATACGAGCAAACTTTTCGCMCACTTGGAGTTAGATGTGTTCCCAACTTTGTCAGGACGCACCATCTACCCGGCGAGCCTCAGTGCTTCTTCCATTTACTCGTCTTACACAAGGACGACACTCCATAACGATATCTCCTTAAGTAGCCTGGTGGAATGAAGAAATATACTGGCTTTTCCTG